ACTTACGTTTAGTTAGGCCATGTTTACTTACAAGAGCCGAGAGCTTACGTCGACCAGTGACTTTTGGTCTCATCTTGTCTCGAGGCAATTTGTGATTAAGAAAACTTCTGGCAGACAAGTTGACTGAATTTCAGCTAGGGGATAACGATGTAAAAATAAATTGCAACAGTTAGAGAGAAATCGGATTCACAAAATGAGAATTGCAAAATGCGATTAGTGAACAACGGGCATAGACTAGCAAAACTCGAAAGGAGATGGCAGCGGGCAGTTCTTAGAGAAAAGGCCTGTATTTAAGGAAATTCAAACAAATTAACAGGTACTAAAATCGTTAGATCTCACAGAAAAACCACTTAAAATAATATCCTCCACTTATCTTCAAATTTAAAACCAGCGGCTTGACCTTGACCGGTGTGTTTTAGTGTCTTATTTCATGGTGACATTTAGATATCAGCTCCATAAACATACGTTGCAACAACAAGCGGACTATGTGACTATGTAAAATTAAAAAGTAATGCATCCAGAATTGTCCGACAGGCCGAGTAAAATCCAAAAATGTTGTTTTATCATTTTAACAGCCTACTGAAAAAAGCCCAATCACAGTACACCAGGATAAAAATAAGGTGGCAGTCATTGAAATCAACGAGAAATGCGGAGGTTTAGGACAATTCTTCGGGTTGGTATTTACCAGGAAAACGGAGTTTCAGAATCACAAAAACAGCAGTACTGTTGTGATTGTCAGTCCGGTGCTTGAATCTATAGTCTCCCCGACATCCGTCATTGAAACAAAGCTACAGAATCTCAGTGAAGCAAATTCGTCAGGTCCGGGCAATATATCAGCCAAATTCTTGAGTAAATTGGAAAACGAACCATCCAACCTGCAATCACACAACCTCCACTCATTATTCGATTTAGGGAAACGGAGACTGAAAATATTTACCCGATATACAAAAGCTGGGCTCGAACTGGTGCCGTAACTTGGTTGGCCGTCAGTCTCACCCGCATTTGCTGTCAAATAATTGAAACTACACTTAAGAAAGCGATAATGAAATTCCTGGAGGAGAACCACTTACTTTTGGGGTTACAGCACGGCTTCAGAAAGAAGCACTTTATCTAGTTGTTTTCACGTTGGAACTCGAGGTTGACAAAACGATGTTCCCAAAGCATACCCTTTTCCGCGATTTCCGATCAACTCACCCGACCGAATGATTAACACACCGTAATTCCTACGACTGGAATGATTTCTTCAGTAGATCGAATGTACATGTTTACACTGCAAAACTGTATGAAATTTTGGATCCGCCTATTTCTCGTTTTGTGTCCAGTAAGAAAATAATTAATGTACGAGAAGAGGTTTACCTATACTTACACTTTGACCGCAGGTTCCGCAGACTTTCTCGTCGATTCTATCTTCCGAACGACGTTTCTGTGCTGCTCTTGATTGGTGATATTTTTGAGCTGGCTAAAAGACTGTCCGAAGAAAAACAGCTAGACGTAGAGGTCCAATTCGCTGAAAACCGTTTGATAAATGTGTCGAAACTTTTCTCCCGACAAGTACGAACTCACAGAAAGGCACAGGATCCCACCCCCCGAGACGCTCTTGGAAATCCAAGAAGTGATGCCCGGTTAACCGCTGATAGCTTCAATGATTTCCTGTCCAAAACGTTTATTGAAGACTCGACCATTCCACTTCTGCATATCCACGCATTGACTGGGGCAGTTCTCGAAAATATAACTTTCACTCTGTGGGATGTGACTGTTGCGATTCGGCGGTTTCGTCAGTCGCATAGACCAGGACCTGATGGTGTCCTAGTAAGCATTCTTAAAGCGGATGCAAATACGATTTTCCCATCCATCTTATGCAAGATATTTAGTCTTGCTCTTAAAAGTGAAATCTTTCTTACCTTGTGGAAGTAATCACGCATTTTGCCCATCAATCTACGCCATTTGATGACTTTCGGCCAATAAACACCCTCCCCGCAGTTTCGAAGATCTTAGAGACAATGACCAAGGAAAAAATGATGTGTTACTTGTACTGCTCAGTATGGATTCCTCAAAGCTCGGTCTTGTGCCACCTGTGAACTCTCTTTCTTCGACTATGTTCTCCAATCTAGGGACAATGGTTTTGCACTTTATACAGTATATTGCGATTTCACTAAGGCTTTTTACCCTGTTGACCAAGCACTTCTTCTCTTGAAACTGTCCTCTTTCGTAATAGGTGACAAACTTTTGAATTTAATATCCTCTTACCTGGGCACTCGTACACAACGTGTTAAGATTTCCAATACTATCTCCAACCCCTTACGTGTGAGGAGTGGAGTCATTCAGTGTAGTGTACTCGGTCCGCTTTTATTTTACCTTTTCGTTAATGATGTACCCGATGTTTTTAAGAATGGTAAGCCCTTCATGTATGCCGATGATCTGAAAGTTGCATATCGATTTAAGCAGGCAGATCGTGACATCGTGCTTGTGCTCCTAAAAAGCGACCTACAGGCCGTTGCCTAATGGTGTCTAACATGGCACCTTTCAATTTCTTTGCATCAGTGCTCAGTCATGGTGGTTGGCGACGACCACCAACCTCAACTAAGCATTGATGGTCACGCCATAAATGTGCCTGGGGTTATAAAGGATCTAGCGTACCATACTCCAAGAGCCTCCATCTCTCGGAGCACTCTGCCTTGATAATCTCCAAAGCACGTAGAACGACTGGGTTTATCCTCGGAAACTTCAAAACTAGGAACATTAGAATGCCTCTTTACGTTTACGATAGACCTGGCCTGGAATACTGTTCGTTTTTATTCAGCCTCATGCGCGCTACTGAGCAGAAGCAAATAGAATCCGTTCAGTATTTTCTTACCAAGAGAGTCCTAGCCCTGGAACACCGACATCTGTCTTGCCAAGAACGTTGCCGGCTTACAGGTCTTGATCCTTTGTTGTTTCGTAAACTACAAAAGGGACTATTTTTGCTAATTAAGCTTTTAAATAGTCGCTCCTTTAACCAACTCACTATTTTAAGACATCATGTTCACGCCCGACGTAACAGTCCCCATGACGTCTTTTTATCTCTCCCTTTTGGCACGTACCGTTAGATATCGTCGGTTCCTTTCTGTACTTGTAACTGCTATTTGGAATAAGCTGAACAGGAATGTCAAAACTCTGCAAAATTATCCTTTATTTAAAAGAACTATTACTCGATTTTTGCATTCAGAAAAATTCTCACAAATTGTGGGTGCTGAATCCACTGATCGACTCTACGGTAGCGATGGCGTTTGTGGCCTCTGAACACTATGGCCGGTCTCACCATGGACAATTTCTTTAGCCAACACCGACAGCTGTTCTTCGGCGCTTCTGTTTGGACTTGCCTCAAATTCAGGAAGGGAATTGCCGACTGATAATATACGATACCGTGCAACCCCTCCCTTCTTGACGGTCGACAGTTTGCGGTCAGAGTGTTTTCTATCCTGAACCCTCCAAACCATAAAAACCACCATAAACTTTATTTTTATTCCTTTTCGACAGGAGTTCTTTTTCACTGCTGGCCGGATTTGTGTTTAACTGTTTCTGGCAATGCCTGTAAAATGGCTTTGAATACAAGTTTTATTATTATTATTATTATTATTATTATTATTATTATTATTATTATTATTACTATTATTATTAAAAGCCGTCTCCTCGGTATACACAAACGTGAAGAAATCGGATAACATGACCGCGTTGTCTTCATTATCAGACAACTTATTTCCCTGACAATCCTCTAGACGGGGAATGCAGTCCCGGCTACGCTTCGCCCTATCCACATATCCAAAGAACGTTTTGGAACTTCGGGGCATATTACTGAGTAATTTCGATTTACATTTGTCCCGTTTCACGCTCAGCAGATTCCGACACATATTTTTGTTTTTTAAATCAGTAGAATTCTCAGGTTGCCGATAGAAGCGAGCGAACGGGTTTCAGGAGGCTATTCGAAAGAAGAAGAAGAAGACACGATCATTAAAGCAAAGAGCTCATTGGCCTGACGTCTCGGATTCTCACTGGAATCCATAATCAGAGCAAGAATACGACACGTCAGGCCAATGAAGTTCGTGTTTCAGTTATCACCTCGCCTTCTTTTTGTTCTTCTTCCTTTTCATCATCATCATCATCATCATCATCATCATCATCATCATCATCATCATCATCATCATCATCATCATCATCATCATCATCATCATCATCATCATCATCATCATCATCATCATCATCATCATCATCATCATCATCATCATCATCATCATCATCATCATCGCCGTCTTTCTCCGCTCCTGCTTCTCTTCCGGATGCCCTGGTTGTTGTTGAGAAATGAGTGTACTCCCATGCAAGAACGGAATAGCAACATAGGCCCAGGGTCGCGTTAGAATTCAACCAGAGGATACAATTTTCATCTCTAATAATGATAAGATTCAAACTGCTGTCCACTTAGGAATCGGGTGTCCATCGTAACTTGTTGTGCAAGAAGTTCGTTAGTGGATCACCGAAGTAGCTTCTGTTCCAATGATTTTCCGACCACATGCAGTTCATCGACACCAAGTCGATATCCGGATAGTTAAGATCTCCAAATAGTGTTACGCCTTAGCTATGGCAGATTTGCGTAACCACAGTGATGATTGCATCATTCGTACCCTTCCGCTATCCTGTGGGTCTGTTTACCAGGGCAGTATGGAGGTCCGGTTGGTTTTGTCTTTTCAATTCACAACCAAAAATGTTGAAACTAGTGTTCCCTCTTAGGGAGTACCCGTCGGTGACGCAGTCAATACCATGCCGTATGAACGTCGCGATTCTCCCACCTCCGCTTCCATTTCGGTCCATGCGGCCAAACTGAAATCCGCGCAGCATGACTTTTGCGTCTACTATCTACTCATTTAACCATGTTTCAAGTAGGCTACAAAGTCAGGTTGCAAATGGGCCCGGTCAGTGTAATTTCATTTACTTTGTCATAAAGACCCTGTACAATGGTGTTAGTCATTTTCACATTTTTTGGTTCTTTCGGACTATGTATATTTTCTTTGATTCTTGTGCTCTGCAACTATTGCTTTATTTTTCATATGACATATCCGGTTCACAAATGTTCGATGGAACTGGTCCTGGCGTGGTGACCCTCGATTTCGCCAGATGATTCTATGGAAACTTGCGTCCTGTTTCATTGAGTTTATTGCCTACAATCTTTAGATTTTTTCTCCCTCGTTCTGAAAATTTTTCGGTCCTGCCACTAGTGTCCTCCTTTTCATTCGATCGATGGGAAGAACACTCCTTGAGGGTTATTTCGTAGTCTGAATTTTCGAAACAAGATTAGATCTGCCTGCTGCCCACTTGCTAAGACGAATTTTAATGGTCTTGGTAGCATTCCCTCTGAGTTGTATCTGCTTAGAAGCACCAACTTGGTCTTGTGGGATTTAAACCACCCCATCGGGTTCTTGAGTGTCATTTAATAAAATTTGGGATGTAAAAGGTCTTGATTGACACTTTCTCTAGGGGTTTCGCTAACAGCCTCAGGAACACCCTGGATCACCTGGATCTCGGAAAAAGTCTGTATCTGCATCCTTCCTTCCTTCCTTCATGCATATAACGGGAATACAGTAGCCAATATTCATATAACAATTGAAACTGATCTCACAAAACTCAGCGAATGGAGTAGTCAGTGGCAGATGCCCTTTTCACCCGAAAAATGCCATCTCCTGATATTTGGCCCAGAAAAACTTCCCCCATAATTTTCGAGGATAATGAAATAACAGAGGCCCAATCGGTAAAAGATTTAGGTCTCAGCTATACAAATACCCTTGATTTATCTCCCCACGTCCAACAAATATCACCGAAAGCCACTCGCCTGTGTGGATTCATATGTAAAAATTTCACCTTAAATGCACTAAAAATACGACTGTTCAAAATGTATGTTTTACCTCTCCTAGATTACTGTTCAATTTTCTTCGGCATAATGCCCTCAGACGGCCGAAAGAAACTAGAAGGCATTCAGAGACGTTTTACTAGATCTTTGTCGAGAAGTGATGGCATCCAGGGTTCATACTTAGAACTATATCATAAATACGGTCTTCGACCACTCTGGATCAGAAGACTTCAAAATGGTCTAGACTTCCTATTCAAGGTCACCCACGACCCAGATATTCTCAAAATGAATTTACTTACCAACCAAAACGCCCCTAGAAATACCAGAACTAGCGAGGATATTATAAGGATTCCCAAATTCACAAAGTCCCAACGGTCAAATTTCTACACCATAAGATATGCGACTATCTGGAATTCTCTTCCAAGTTCTATCCGGAAAAGTCGAACCCTAATCGAATTTAAAATAAAAACTAAGAAATTCCTTTCAAATAACAATACACATTTATTTTTGAATAAGATAGGACATTTTCAAGTCAATTCTTTGATACTGAATTTGGTCCAAAAGGGCTCTGATGATGCCAGCCGATTGAAAAGTACCGGAACATAGCACTAAAAATAATCAAATTTATAAAAGATAGCATCATTGATAAACATAGAACAGATAATGATATTCTTTTTTTTCCTCATTTTCTCGTTTTCATCAGCTATGTCACCTGACACTAAATATCCCTTATAAAGCTAATAAAAATATACCCTTCGATAAAACCCTGCATATTAGTCGTGCGTATGTCTATATTAAAGCCATATTAAACATATATAGAACTATATTAGGTCATAGTAAACAGTCGACCACTACTCCTATAATTTCACATTAACAAGAACAATATGATACACGATTCAATAGTATTTTGACAGTTTTGATTGTGACTTACCATTGAATGCTTCTTACTCCTGATATATATTCATCTTTTCCAGCTCTTAGTCCAGACAACGATGGTTAGCCTCCTGAAAAACACGTAGGAACTGTGCGACCGCCCCCTTAAAGCTGGCCAGATAGACTGACAACCAGCAACTAGAGCACACCGAAATATACCCAACAGGAAAATAATTTCAAGGTCAGGCCGATATCAAAGTTCTTCAATTGCCATGAAGGACATATTATTCATGCCCCCGAAAACTACCAAACTGCAAACTTCAATTTTTATTATGACAGTGGGCAGTCGAGTTCCTCAAGGCTGTCATTAACGTAAAGGATGAAGAGCAATGGTCCCAGACCTGAGCCTTGAAGCCCAACACTAGTCACGTTCACCCATTCTGACGTATCATTTCCTATACGGACACGGTATTGCCTGACCAACCAGTAACGCCCTTATCCAGTTCAGAAGATCTCCCCGGATGCCGGAAGGCGTTGGTGCGGAACAGTATCGAAAGCTTTGCAGAAATCAATGCATACGACATCGACCTCAAAACCCTCTTCTAGATCCCTGGTCCAGATCTCCAGGCAAGCTAGCGGATTTGAGAGGCAGGAACGTCCTCTCAGGAAGCCATGCTAAAAATCCCGCAAGATGTTATTTTCTTCAGAAAAGTGCTGTTTAGCACTCTTTACTAGAGCTTTCACCGTTTTGCATGGGAGTCAAGTTAAGCCAATAAGTCTGAAGCTGCTGGTTGCCATCCTGCTACCTACCTTATGTAAGGGAACGAGGTTAACTGTCTTCCACTGTGATGGCAGCCTTCCTGTTCTCATTGACAGCTCAAAGAGAGTCGGAAGAGGCTTTGACAGCTCCGTTGATAGCTCCTTAAGTATAAGCCCAGGAATTCCGTCGGGTCCAGGAGACTTATCGTGTTTTATTTGACTGAGGGCGCGTCTTACTTCTTCGACGGAAAAGGCAACGGTTTCGATGATGGCAGTATCCTGGTGCATTCAAAGTTCCCGGCTGTCTCGGCCCATTTCAAACTGCTGATTGTCTTCTGAGAACGCATCCGTAAAAACCGATTGAAAAAACTGAGACAGTAATTGCCCCTTCTGTGGTCCTTCAACTAATAGGTTACCGAGGCTATCCTTTAGACACGGAATTTCGTCCCTATGTTTTCTCCTACTGCGGATGTACCGTAAAACTTCTTGGGACATGTAATGGATTCTGCTAGCTGTGGGCGCTCGAAAGAAGTTCTAGCAATCCGTATTTGTTTGCGGCATTCATTGCGTTGATCCTTATATTCGGCGAATGACCTTATTTCTCGAAATTGTAAATACTTTTTTCACATTCTCAGTTTCTTCTTCATGGTCTTTTTTGTCGTCGCATTGACCCACGGCGGTCGCGAACATAGTCTTGTTATTTTTATTGGACAATGTGAGTCAGTTAGACGCTCTATAATCCCGCAGAAGTACTACCAAAATTCTTTTGAATCGTCCATTTTGACTAACCAGGTTTCCTTCAAAGGACTACGTCTCATTGCGTTAGAGTCACACTTCCAACTATTTCTGCGTCCCCTGATTCTTGGTTGTTGGTTCGGCACGCAGGTAAAAGCAGTATGATCGCTTAAACCGAATGGAGGTTGTTGATTCATTTTTCTTATGACTCTTTCTTATTTACTGAAAACGAGATCCAAACAGTTAGATCGCTGTTCTTCCCTCAGTCTTGTTACGAATTTTATGCGTTGAATGAGGTATTCATTCAGGTAGAGTTGTAGTAACTTCTGGTCAAATGACCCCAACATGTTTCCATACAACGTTGCCTCTTTAGTTAATGGTATCATGCATACAAATTTCAGATCACAACAACTTTGCTTTACATCCTTTACTTCCTCCCTACGTCTTAATTTTCCACCAGCAACTCATCCACATTTTATAAATAGCGGTGAGCGTAACCTGAATCTCAGGAATACGCTCAATAGATTTCCCCTCAATGAGATCCATAAGAAGGCACACCTAAGAACTGTAGCCTTCGAGTTTGACCCAGATGCTTTGTGCACTACGGAATCATATAGCATACTGGCTGACCACTTATTAATGACCCAACATGAAGTGAGCAGCATAGCCCGCACCCAGGGGAAAATTTTGCGAACTCTACCTACATGGTTCTTTCTTTCAGGTATAAAAGAATGTACGATTTTTTTGCGCCTTTTAGGCTAAAAACGCTAGATACAAATACAACGGCAGATTTGACTCAAAAGTATTCGAGAATTTAAAAAAACCCTTTCAAACCGAAAGGCAATCTTTCCTGGAGTATGAAATTTAAAAAAAGCTTGAGTTGCTAACAAATTAATACAGGGAGGAATATTTTTACACGTTTTTTAATAAAATATATTTAAATTTGTAGGGCGCCGAAAATCAAAGGAAAAAGTTAACAGCACTTAAGTAGTCATTTTTTTAAAAAGAGTGCTACTTACAGACGGACAAGAAAAGGTGAATTCAAAAGCCGACATTCCGTTGAACTTAAAATATTATGGGATTCTACTGAATGATGATCAATCTCACAATCTCACCAAAGCAATCCGTCCAATTTGAAACACATTTCAGAATTTTGACCAACATTTCAAGAGACCGGTCACTGACTTGGGCCTTTTTCAGACACAGAGCGTTAACGGCATGGAATGCCCTACCCGTGGACGTGGTCATGCCATCATCCGTGGACATATTTAAGAGGAAGCTTGACCAGCACAGGGATATGTACCTCCACGGCATCAGAAACTAACAAATTTCCTCCTGTACCACCCACCCCAAAGTTTTGCCATTACGAAACAGGCTACTTCCTATATTTAAGTAGTATTCTTTTAGGACTTTTCGTTAACACGTGACCGAGGCATATACGTTTGCTTCCATTTAACTTGGTCCATTCAGTACCGCGCACTGGTTATTGTACAATTTTGACAAAGAAGACATTCACGGACAAAGTTATACCAGTAACCAATGCTTGTTGTATGTAATTAATTACCTAATTTTCTTTGACACTTGCACTACACATTGTTTTTTCTGACGTTATTGTAACAAAAAGGGAGTTTAAAGGCGCTCGCCTACTTACCCCTTAATAAATCTGATCTGACCTTACCGTAATTCAAAACTAGTTAAGGGCATCTAGCCAATAGCAGAACAGTTGGGTAGACGATATCTGCAGGAACAACACTCGTGACGGCCTTGAACAAAATTGCGGCGTTTTCTGTAGCATGCCTCGAGTGCCTCCCGAAAAACCCAAAAATGGAACCAGTTACAAAGAAATCTACACCAGGAATGCCGTTGGGCGGGCCGTCAGATGCCTTAAAGTGAGGGTGCAGTCCCGTAACCTGCGGATAGAGTGATGCTGCAGCAAGTTACGCGACCAACTGACGAAACTAGTGTTTTTTTAGGCGAAACATAATTGAAAGTCCTTTTTTATACTACTACCTCTGCAAAACATCGAGTTAGTTGTCAACTTGGGAACATTAGAGTGTCGAAGACGTGTCAACGCCCAATAATTGGTCTTGTGCTAGTTTGTGCTTTTCGAATTCCTCTTCAAGCATTTGCTCCTGTATTTGATCTGTCGACCGATTGTTTTGAGCGCACAATCTGATTGGTATAACTCACGAGGTGTTTGTCGTCCCTAAACTAGTGAACGTGTTGGCTTTCCGTCACCCCAGTATGCGTGATGACTGCACGAGGAAAGTAAGCCATCTTCCGCGCATTCTGTAAACAATTTTATAGAAACACTGGTAAGTCTCGTGCACGTCGATGACTAAGCTGGATCATTCGCAGGTTGTTTGGCGACCATAAGAGCAGACAACTCAGCATAACTGGGAATAAATGAAGGTGAAAATTCTTTCTGTAGCTTTGTTTCACTTTCAAACACCAGGTGATTCGTTATAATGATAACACAGGTAGTAGCTAAAAGCCCAGGCACCTGTTTCGCGGGTTTTATGACGCGGCATGACGTAGCTAAGGGGGTTTCGACGCACTACCGGCTCCTTTAGCGTTTAACATGCGCTTTCGGCATGAGGACGCTATTGCGGCATGTTAAGACCCACTGCAGTAAATCTGGAAGACAAGATTGCTAAATTGGAATACCTTCGACCAGAGCCCACAACAAAGAGCTACCTGCGCAACCTCGCCAACCAAGGGGAGAGACCAAATCCGACCGTCCCCAAATTTGGTTGAGAGCCTACGTAAGTGGAAAACGTCACATAAGCCGTCAGCCGCCTTCTCACAGAGACCGGAGTCAACCATACCACAAAGTTCTTAGATGTTCGGCTCTTTTGATCAGCACAACCACTTCCCGGAGGAAGTAATCCCGGCCACAAACCATACCCTTGCTGGACTTTGTCTGGTCGCATGGAGAGCGCCGGGGGAATACCGCTCTCAACTGGCCCAAGAACGCACATAAGTGATGAAATTTGACCAGTTAATGACTCCGGGCAATTCCATGTGATAAGTGCCAAAGTCGCTCATTTTGATAAGTATGCGGTAGCACAACAGCTGTATCCTGCAAACACTGGGACACCTGGGTCACTCATTGTTCCAGCCTGGATCCGCCTCTGATGATAGATTCGGTTGGGGACCCGAGACGGCGAACGAATGGGGCCCTCTTCCTGATAGCTTCCTGGGACTGGCCTCTTCGCGTCTATTAGCAGATCTAATTTCCGCATAAATGAATGCACAAACTTGGTGAACCTTTTTATGCTTGGTCTGAAGGGTGATATGAATGCTTGAACTAGAAGACAACAGCCTGAACGCATTGACTGCATAATCTTTACAAGCAGCCAATAGACAGTCTTCAGTAAACAAACGCCTAATGGCTCCGTTTCAAGGTATCGAAGGCCACTTTTAGAGGGCAGTTACTTCAGAGGAGGAGAAAATTCGCGGGGTTTGGCCCTGCAGCGCCACTTGATTGATATCATATGATTAGCTTACTAAAATAATCTTAGTTAACATACCTAACTTAGCCACTAGATGAATTGGGAAGGGAAAGAGAGCGCGAGCAGAGCTTGATGAACGCGTGGGAAAGCGATTGAAGGTGGCGTGTGAATACTATCTCCCCGACACAGTCACTCGCTGGATTAAGAGGATATGGGGTGTGCGATCACAACTGGAAGGCCACGGAGGGAACCGCGTGGTAATTCGCAGTGCATGACCACCGTAGTGATACCGAAGGAGTTCGACACCGTCCCAACAATTCCATTAGCAAGGCTACTTGACCACTCGCTGGCCTGAAGCACGCGCGGGGGAGCGCGTGTTAACTGATAACTGAAGTAACCGAAGCTGGCACATAAACACTTCTCCTACCGTTGCACAGTCACTCGCTGGGTTAAAATGGTAAGGAAAATGCAAATAGGTGATATTTGTAACGTCAGCGTACTCGCATCTACTCGAATTCCTTATAAAGCTTACCGTATGGTATCACTCAGGAGGGGCCGCAGGACCAAACCGAAAATTCATCAGCAATGGTACAGAGAACAACCGTGCCAGAATAATCACTTGCTTATAGTGTGGAGCATGGATAGATTACTTCTGAGCTAGTGACTTGTTCACGTTTAAATACCCGCCCAGTCAGTTTAGGGTACGGGGCGATTACAGCCATCCAAATCGAAGGAATGTGGGCTTTCGAGACGCTGTTCTTGCATCGGCATTTGTGTCCTTGCCCTTAAGACCTTGGGGCAATATTTGATAACATCACCGACGGTGAATTGATTAAATCATTCTCTTGAGCTTAGGTGTTAACGAAACTGAATCTTAATCCGTCTACCTAAATGCTTTAATTAAAATGTACATTGGGGCAACACACATAGATCACAATTTTGGTGGTTATAAAAGTGCATAGTGTAAGGCGAAGAGGACATGCGCCATGAGGACTGGGATGCACGACGTTTTCACAGAGGCGCGTGGAAAGCTTAGATGCAGGCTTTCAGGTCAGGCCAGACGATTTGTCCAATCCCAGCCCCGAATGGAGACAGGTTTGGTCGATCGACTGGTGCATAGATCGAGGGAAATGGGTGACGTCGACATTAGGGGACGCCTCCCCATAGCATATGAAGGCACTCCTCAGTATCAGTAATTTAAGGCGCTTGGGTTCACCACGACGCGTTAAAAGACCTGGCTTGGGAGGTAGCCAACTGACCGGATAACTCCGTCCTCGTAATTAGTCCTGTGTAAATGCGTGGGTTTTGAGTGGATGACTGGAGGACTGAGAGTAAGGCTGCAATTGCTCCTTCCTAATCAGGCCTGTTCGGTAATTCTACGTAGACGGACATGAGCTACACAGTATTGGATGATAAATTCTGGTCCACTGTGGAGGGACGCGGTCTTTGTGTGACACACCTGGACGGCCTGTTTAACTTGATCGGCCATAGCGCTCGAGTCCACCTTCAGCCGTTCTGACTCCGTGGGAGAAGAGGCTGCGGTAGCCGCTGCGCAAGTCTGCTATCACTACAAATTAATTCACACAGGAGTCACCGTGCTGCGCCCAACACATCGTGCTCACACGACAGACATCGTCCTCAGCAACACTCACAGTAATGTAGCTTAGTGAGATTAGGTCATTCGCTGTGGCGACTGGATTCTGCAGCCACCATAATTATTTTCCTACCCACCATGCTTCGGGTCTTGAAGATCTCACGGTCACATTAGTCCGGAAATGCTGATCTTCAGCCCGGACACACATAGCTCCACCGAAGGGCATCTACATGACCCCATCATCGTGTTGCCCCCAAGTTTCCGCTTGACTCTCTCCAGGTCGCTTTTGATATTACATACTGGTTGAACAGACACCAACGTAAAAAAAGTTCATTTCCGTCACATCTATTGAGATAGTAGGTGCGCAATGTTCCTTTAATCTAATATCAGAGGTTACCTAAGGGTCAATGACACACCTCGGAGTTTTTCAATTGCCACCGTTTATACATCTTGCGTGGGGAGGTATGCGTCAAACCCCCAGTGGCAGCTGGCGAGCTTTTATTCGCGGGTGGGGCATTGTCCAATGTCTATTTATTCCCATTTAGTAGCTTCTGAAGCAATCGATGTAATGTTGTATTGCACTTGTCCATGTTCTTAATCGGAAGAGCCTATATGATGCAAGAACAATAGAGAAGGCGGTGGTTTCACAGATCCCGCCAGTTTTCAGGGCGATTTGGCATTCGTTCGTTCTGTGGGTTTCATTCACTCGTCATGGAATTCAGAATCTTGAGGTTCCATCCACAAACCCACGTCTCAAGCAGTGCTTCCGTTGGGTCAGAGAATGCTTGTTGGTGGTAGCTATCACGAGGCGAGCACCTCACTGCTCTGGTTGGCAAGCAGGATATCGGTCCTCCCAACAGCGTTGGCCCTAGGGAAGTCTAACGGGATCGCATAGATGGCAGTCCACCCGATCGTCGAAAAATCCAGTTAAGGCGTGTTTCGGCAAGGTTTTGTTCTGCAGTCCCACTTGAGTGATATCATATGGTTAGCTCTCTTAAAAGTTTTGTAGAGGTGAATAAGCTGACTTGACAAATATGACGTATTTGCATCTTCGTTACCATTTTAACCCAGCGAGTGACTGTGCAACGGTGGAAGGAGTGTTCATGCGTCAGCCTCGGTTACTTCAGTTATCAGTTCACACGCGCTCCCCCGCGCGGGCTTCAAGCCCTGCTTGCACCTTTTTTATTATCTTAATCCAGCGAGTGGTCAAGTAGCCTTGCTAATAGAATTGTTCCGACGGTTTTGAACGCCTTCGGTATCACTACAGTGGTCATGCACTGCGAATTATCACGCTGTTCCCTCCGTGGACTTCCAGTTGTGATTGCGTCCCAAGTATCCTCTTAATCCAGCTAGTGGTTATGTCGGGGGGATAGTTTCTGCACGCTGCCTTCACGTGCTTCCCTGGGCGTGCTTCGAGCTTTGCTTGCGCTCTTTTTCCCTTCCCAATCCAGCGAGTGGCTAAGTTAGGTATGCTAACTAAGATTGTTTCAGAAAGCTGACTATGTGGTATCAATCAAGTGGGGCTGCAGGACCAAACCCCGCCCGTGTTTCATTAGTCTGGAGGGCTTGGTGAAGCGACTGGTTTCCGTGGCACCTCAATCCCATGATGGACACTTCCAAATCCAGCCAAACGGCGGGTGATGCTTTGTCCTGCTGTTTTGAGTTCTGGTGGTTTTATAGGTAACAAATTAATCAGGCCGGCGACCAAATACACATGGAGGTTTTACTGCCTGTTCGTCTGATCCGAGAACCTCACTATTCCTCAGTTAACCTTCGCTGAACGCCGTCCCACTATTTGTTGTCTGTAAAAGTCTGAGGAACCCTATGCCAAGGCTGGTAGGGCGGCCTTCCCTTCTCCTTCTGATTGTTGTCACAGTCGACTTCGCAAAGCAACAGTGCTTTCACGGTGCTCAAGTGACCTACTTCAAACTGTTCAGTACTTTCTTAATTGGTCCCCCCTCCCCCTACTGGGGCCATTTCCAGGTTTGTGGGATTAAAGGTTACGCCGATGACTGGTTTGTGCATGTATGCTTTCATCATACACTTCAGTTCACCAGTCAGCTGCCGCGGCATATGCACATACCGCGCAAAATACAGTCACCGTAGCAAGTCATGGAAGCGTGTGTGGGCATGCGAAGCCAATGCGGTCGGTGCACTTTACGCAGACCGTGATTTAGTGCAGGGCTCGTCGCTGTCAGGTTCATCCGCCTCCGTGCAAAATTGCACCACACTGACTGCATTTTAATTTATCAGCGCATCGAAAACCCATGTATAAAAATTCATACCATATGAGTAGTCATTTTTTTACCGGGTGTCGACGTGTAGGCGGCCAGAAAGAAGCCCATTTAAAAGTCGGCATCCTGGCGCGACTGAAATATCTTGGGATTACGTTACACATTATTTAATGTAGGGTCCCCACCGGTCAGACCGCAGTTCGTAGCCCGGAATGGGGAAGCTAACCTAACACTAAAACCAGAACTCTAACCGTAAAACCATAACCAAACCCTAACCCTAAAACCTGACCCTAACCCTAAAATATAACCCTAACCTTGATCCAAAAATCCTAACCCTAACCCTAAAACCTAGCCCTAACCTTAACCCTAAACCCTAAAACCATTACCCTGACTCTAACCCAAAAACCTAAACCCAACCGCAACGATGGAATTTAACCCTAAAGCCATAACCCTAACCCAAAAATCCCAACCCTAACCTCAAACCCTAACCCTGACCTTAATCCAAAACCCTGACCTTAACCCTTAAACCTAACCCTACAACCATAGCCCCAAGACGCAAACCCTAACCCTAAGCCCTCACTAAGTCCAACAGCCTGACCGAGACGGACGACGTGCCTAACACAGTAGAAACCCACCTACTGATGACAAGTTTCCTCGACAAGGGAAACGCACCTACTGATTCCAAATAAGCATGTCGACAGTATCAACTCATAATGTCTGTCTACGAAATGGGATCTTACCCCCCACCTAAGTAATCCTTCCTAATCGAAAACAAATTTCAGAATTTCGATTGACATTTCATGAGATGGGCCAGCTACCGTCGTCTGTCAACGTTCAGGCTGGCGAACAGACCTCACTCCCTTTCCCTGTTTCCTATCATCCCAGAGTGCGCGCAACAAGTGTGCATTCGCAGTGCACAGATGGGCTACAGCAGACTGCTGAAGACTTGACTAACTGGGACCCATAAGGCTAGGAAATACGGCCGTATAGGTGCGAGTAAAGACTTCTACAAAGTGGATCGAAACAGGGGAACGTCCTAGTGCTTAGACTCCATGAGCGGTCAGTGAATAACAATTCGAGAAGTACTGCCGACAAGTACAAGACACACGGAAATGACTATTGTTGACAGTTAATAACTAGTGATATCCAAGCCCCGCTCCGGGCACAGAAGTTGTGAGCCCTAGTCAGATGATGGATGAACACTCGGGAAGCAAACCCTTATCCCCACTGTTACAGACTACTACGGTATCGGCTAGAATCACAGTCAAACGGGAGAGGCGGTGCCAGTTCTTTAATAGAGCATTCCGAATATACCTCTTGGAGCAGTTTGCCTTCTTTGATACATTGTTGTTCTACGCCTTTCTGCCCACCTTGATCTATCTTGTTGGATCACTCTTAGCACGCTTCGTAGGCCACATTTCTGACCACAACGCCTGCTTCCTCTCCTCATGCCTTCAAGGCTGATGGCTGTTCATCTGTCTGCTATCGTCCCCTGTGACATAACAGTGCTGTGGATCCTGGCTTAGTAAAGAAGAACGGAGTTGTGGTATGAGGGTGCAACCGTCACGGAGGTCGACGTCTACCGCTGCCGCAGATTGGTCCAGAAGCAGTGACTTGTACCTGAAGTAGTTTATAGTGAGGCAGACTTGTACAGAACCCACCGCACACTCTCCTCCCTCACCCATCGCGATTCGGAAGGAAGGCGACTGGATGTGGACGTAGGCTGAGTTGCTAGCAAAGTTAAACAGCTCGTCATCTTGGGCACACACGACGTGGCCCGCATTTTCAATGTGCCAGACAACCATGAAAGCGGCTGGACATATGAGAGAATATCATAGGGATCACATCATAGTCCGACCCTCAGTCCGGAGAAGGACTAAACTGTCCTGTCTGCGGGCAGCTTTCCAAACCACGGCTCTTAGGGCGATGATTGAAGGTCCTAGAGGGAGACGCGTCTGTTAGGATCCGACAAGTAGGTGAAGCAGAAAGAGAGTCGGTTCGGGAAGCAAGCACTTTACTGACAGCCTTTGAACACGAGGGGCTCGTCAGAAAGACGCCTTGTTTATATTGGCCCCTGCGCATTCTGGAACATTCCTGCCTATGGCGTGCCGGTCGCGGATTGGCCATCGCGTGCGCGAGAATCCCTCCGGGGAAAAGTCTCGAATATTCGGCCAGTTATTAATTGGGTGGAGCGCGTGCGCAAGGCCATCACGTGAGCTCGATTCTGCAGCGCACGCTGATCGTCTGTCCAAGTTAACATGCCGCGGCCGACTTGGCCTGCTGCAGAGCCACGGCCTATGGCGTCGTCATTTTGCCATAGGCCGTGACTCTGCACAATTTCCGCTCTCCGTAACACAGCCCGCTTTTGAAAAGTGTACCTCATACTCCGTTCTTCTTCTTCTTCTTCTTCTTCTTCTTCTTCTTCCTTGGAGTGCACGACAAGTCTTCTGGGGGGAGGGAGGGTAGGGGCCGTATCCTCATTGAACTTTTTCGAACTGCAGGTGGTGATGGTTCTAGTTTCTCGCTGAGAGTTGGAATAGCAAACGTTTCACAAAGTAGTTGGGACGTCAGCTTTGAATTCCCAGGTCTCTCGATGTCTTACCTAGTTAGCATGTCTCTTTAGCATGCCTGCTGGGGTTTCAACCTCGAAAACCACACACTGGGCTTTTTGCATCATACCTTCACCACTTCTATAGTTCTTTACGTACACCGTCTCTCCCACCTCAAAAGTGGCGTTTGTGGGGCTGTGATAAAGGTTCATCTGGTCTCAGGTACTGGAATTTCACATCGGGTTGTCGACCCACGGCATGTTGCGTCGTCTTTTCGCCATAGGGTGCGGCTGCGCACCATTTCCGCTCTTCGGAACAACTTCAATGTTATTATTGATGACAGATGCACTGGCGTGCCATTAGGATGGATTTCCCAGCACCGACACCTGGTTCTCTCCTTCCGCTTCCATGGGGCCAGCCGACGGTCAGAAACTGCCAGACCGGTGCTGAGACTTGGCGCAGTGGTTGACATGCTAAGCCGACCGTCGCACCGAAATGCGCATGCGTGGCTTTTCTAGTGAGGTGACGACCGCCAGCTACGGTTACAAACAGCGAGACCGGTGCTGACAATTGAACGGGGGCGTAGTGTTCAGCCATAATTGGCATTTGCGCGAGGTATACGACCGACGGGATGGAGCGAGCCGCCCATAAGCCTTCTGAAATTCCGGAGGGCCGACCACTTGCTTCTCAAAGGTCAAACAATCGATGCACCAATAAACGCCCCATCTTCTCGCTAAACGACATCTGCGTTTTGCCTTTCCTTTCATTTTATCGAGATGAAAATCTCTACTTACATGCCTCTTGATACTACTGCGATTTCTGGATAAACATTTACGCGGGGATTTTGTGCGTGTGTCAAGATTCGCCGCAGTAGGAACTATGGGCTCCGGATTGCTGTAGATTTCGACAGTTCGAAAAGGAAAAGCTCTCAAGCTATTTCCTTCGACGGCCCGTTCGGCCCCTTGTTTTGTTGGAGCACCGCCATCATATATGTAGCCGAATACTGGGGTTCCAAGTATCTGTATGAGTGAAGAAGAGGGTTGGTCGAGAAACACCAGAACAAATTGTTCATTATTTTCACGTCTTAAACTCCCATAGGAGTCCATCGTCAGAGATAGCAACAACAGAACGAGCGAACTATAAGGGGTACTAGCCAATCCTCCGTCAGTGACACAGGACTGGAGGTGACTGTTTAGGGCTCCGTACTCCGGCGCCAGATCGATACGTCGATTGGCTGAGTCCTCGTCCGAGGGCCAGGCTTTAATCGGTTCTCGGCCTGTCTTGTTTCGGATCATGAAAGTGGCTGCGAAGTGACACTCATAACTCGTTTCGTAGGCGTGGGCAGTTATTTGCGAGAATTCGCGCCCCGTCGCAATGTCAGTTCATGTGTGTGCGATCGGAGCAAGCATTCAGTCTGACCTGTTTGGTTGCAAGGACAGTCTCGGCTCGGGATGCGACACACTACTCCAGGTCGCTCCTCAAGTTTTAATTAGTCTTTACTCTTTCTGGCTCTGTTGCACATGGTGGCTTTGGATCGGTGTGCAATTCCAACATTTGGTCCCGCGGCAATGGCTCAGCAGCCTCTAAGACGTTCTTAATGCAGATCATATGCTTGGTAGTGTTGCTGATTGAGTCCTCTGGAAGCGGACGCATAGGCGGCGGCGCATACACGCCTTCGAACAGCTATTTTGCACGAACTGGTGGCGAAGATACCACGCCGCAGGATTTTAATACGAACATCCTTTTGCCTCGGTTAGAGGACTACTTGACAATCCGGTCGGAGTCTGTTTGCACAAGCAGAGCGAACTCAATGCAGATATTGATTTTGATCGAGTATTTCACGATGCGGTTGTTGGGCCAATAGTCTTCCGCCGTATGTCAACGATCACATAACAGAACTGAGTTGAAAGTTAGTTGTGTCTGCAGATGGCATCAGGGTTTGGCATACAGTCAAATGCGGTAACGATGAACAGCCCCTACAGGACTACAGAATAACCCTAGGTGTCCCCGAAGTCGCTTTCATTGATAGTTTTTTTTCATTTTAATGTTCGAAAGTGTATCCTACTCCAGAGCAGAGGAGAGAGAGCGGATGAAGTCGATGACTCTCGTTAGTCATTTCCTGATTAAGCGTCCCTGGAGAATAACATTGACTGAGTGGATCTCGCAGTTGCTTCTGTGTTTTGCTTAAGACCCACTTCAATATTTGTCAACGTAGTCAAAAAGGACGCTGATTTTCTCTTCGAGGCTCATAGCTTCTTTTTAGATAAAAGTAAGCAGTAATATAAAAAAACTCAATGATACTTCTTCGTTCGCAGGTCAACTATCACACACAGACGTAGCACCCTTGATTGAAAAAAAGTCTGCAAGATGGTAGTAAGAATTTCGAGATTACACCGAAAAATTCGAAAGGTGCTAGGTTTGCTACAATGAGTCATGGCCTGTCTGAAAAGTGTTCTCATGCATTCTCGATTGTAAGCCAGCCGGGTGGTTGTAGCGGAGACTGAGAAGCTGCATGGTGTCCATTGCCTTCCCATAAATCGTCGTTTCAATTTCATCCTTCGGACTGCGCCTGACGAGAACATCAAGGAGGGACACCTAGCACTCCTGTTCTTCCTCCCTGGTGAAATGTATATTAGGGACGACTGGGTATTCTTGTTAGTAACTTGATTGTTGGGGATTTGGAGAGAGGTACATGGAGCGTGCCCCAGCAAAGCAAGTGAAGTACAACATCTTGGTCGAGGCACCGCTATCCTGTTTCCGTCGCGACTGCCGTCCCTGTAGACTTGATTCACTCTACGGGCGTTTTCTACAACTGCGGATCGAACTCCCGCAGACGTCCGCATGGCGAAGAGCAAGCATGACATCAGATACTAACTGTTAAATATAAAGCACGTCGGAATCGACAATTCAGGTCTGCTTGTAGTCCCAATGGCCATACTCAACCCCGAGGAGTAATTCTACTAATGCACGGATCCATACCACACCGATTTCGATCAGAAGAGCGAGGAGCGTTATTTATGTCTTAGAGAGAGAGAGGGGTCGAACAAGGAAAGCTCTAAAGTAGATCTAATCAAAAAACATGAAAGGCAGAGGACAGTTAAGACGACATGATGGCTAGCTGTTCGACTCAGGCTCGACTACATGACCCATGAAGATTGGCAGTCCGGTCTCGCTGATGATGAACAAGAGGAATGGATGATCCACGATGAAATCCTGCGGCATATTTATGGGCATACATCGTGTATTTGCAACGGCTGCGGTGGCTGCAGCGGCCTCCGCACCGCTCTCGTCCACCTAAAACGATAGAGGGGCATTAGAGGGAACAAAATTGAATGCAGAAAGGACTCTTTGTCATCTTTATATATGCATATGCATGTATATATATATATATTTCGAAGAAGAATGGGTCCTTTGGGAAAATTAGCAAACTTTATTTCGTAAATTTTCGAGTCTGGTTCCCCAGTGATCCACACTTTGGGTTAGGTATGACTGGCTGATGACGGTTAATAAGCCAGAAATAGCAATTTCGGTTTCCCTTGTCTTTGTCGGTATCATCTAAATTACTTCCACTACTAGTCGGTGTGCAACTACCTGCGAGGGCTCTTATATGAGCCCCAAGGCACAACGGAACAAGCATGTTCGGTGACCTGATCAATGAGCGTCCAGCCACCCGGTTGGCTCACAATTTAGAATGCATGAGAACAGAAGAAAAAGAAGTTGCCATCACTGGGACAAAATGTTTACTGGCCTGATGTTTCAGATTCTCACTCGAACCCATATATATGTGCTGGAAAACGGGAATCTCAAAAAAAATAATTAAAAATAAGTAAGATTATTTGGGAAGAGAATGGACTTTAATGCGTAAATTTTCGGGTCTGGTTCCCCAGATCGTCATCAGACTTTTGGGTTATGTACGAAAACAGTTAACTAATTAACCGTGTCGAAGCAGTGATTCTATGGTTGGCCGAAGCCTGCGCCAATGCGCGTCAATGCTTTTCGTCATCCCATCGGCACTGGCTGCGCTCGCTTCCATTTGTCCTTCAGAAAGTTGTATGTGACATCTAAATCAATATGCCGATTGATGCATGGAGTGCATTGCCTCCAGGAATTCGCGGCCTTTCTTTATTGAGCAGGCGCCAACAATGCGAGTGTTCTCCAATGCAAATTTGTGTTGAGTGTCCAGTGTGTACATGCATATATGGTCGGTGTAACGGATTTGAAAATTCACGAGTATATCTCGATTTGCCGACGACCCT